GGCCTGAGACTTCATACCAATGTCAGCCTGGAGCCCGGACTGCTCACCCCCAGGAGACAGTCCCTGTGTCCCCGCGCAGGGGCTGCCCCTCTGCTGCCAGTGAAACTTACAGAGGGAGACGCGCCTTCACAGAAGACTCCACTGGAGCGAGTGCTCCCAAGTGGTGTGCCCGTTTTCAAAGCTCGCCGCCTGCCACTGCTGCTACACGTAACGCCAGAGGGGTCCGCTCGGCCATACAGAGGTAGCGTCTTTAAATCTCAAATACTCTTTGCCCCGACATTTTGACATCCTTGAATTCAGGATGCAACTCCCTGCCAACGGTATGTTACAACTTCACCCACAGTGTATTTTCATTCTTTTCAAAACATAAAATATCGTTGTGTCTTTCGCCTCTATGAAAGATGACAGCATCTTAGCTTTGATAAAACCTGTGCTGCAGTAACTTACTTAAAGCTGGGTATCTCGGAACTCCAGGCCCGTGCCTCAAAGGGGCACCTGCTCTTCCGGGAGTGAGATTTCTCTGCTCCCGTCAGAAAGACTCAGACCAGGCAGAGGTCAAGCAAGCCCTCCAGAGGAAGGAGACACGCCCTGCTACTGACCACAGACCTCACCCGACATCCACGCCCCCAGATTCCTGGAGGGCAGCGGTCCAGCCAGCAGCTCTGGGCTCACCCCAGGGCCTGCCTGCTGGCCTTGCAGGCAATCACGCAGTCACCTCTGGGCAGCGTGGGTCCTGATCATCCCCAGGGTTACCTAGTGCCAGGCCGTGCCCAGCCATCTGCAGGGATCATTTCTCTGAGTCTCACAGTAGCCCTCTGGGAACATACTCCCAGCATTTCCTCTCACGGACCAAAAAGCAGAGGCTTCAGGAACTCAACAGTCTATCCGGTACAGTCACCCTCAAGGGATGGAGTGGCCTGTGAGCTGGCAGTGCCCCCACCCCCACCAGTGAGCCCACACTGCTCTTCTGTGTCTGGGAGCCAAGGAGACTGAGCGGCCGATGGGGCAGGCGTCTCGGCCCAGCACCCAGTGCCCACCCCATCTCCAGCCTCCCTCCATCCTGTCAAATTCCCACTGCCCAGGGCAGGGCAGCCCTGAGAAAAGAATCTGATTAAATGAGTTCCCACTAATTGCTAGGAGACTGAGGGGCTGCGGGGAGTCCCACCTGGAGCGTCTGGCAACTGTCAGCATCAGAGAGTGGCGGTGGGCTTGCTGCGAACGGACCGGGGCCCATCGGGTCCCAGTCACCTCTGCCCGCCCCTCTGCTGTTCCCCAGCACGTGCCTCATGGCCCTTCCGGTCGGCGGATGCAGAGCAAGCCCGCCGTCTCCCCGAGCCTGTGCCCTGGGACAAGGGGATGCTCACGGTCCCAGCCACTGAGGCGCTGGTATCAGTTTCTCCAGAGGGCAGTGGGAAGGCGGCCCGGACTGGAGGATGCCCTCCACGCTCAGACCCTTTGGAGAGGGCAGCCTCCCCTGTCCACTCACTGCTTCAGCCACTTCCTTCTCTTACCGGAAACATCAACCCTCCCGCAGCGGATTCTCTTGGCTGCAGCAGGGCTGGTGGCCAACTGCTTCACTGAGGGCCCTTGTCTGCCCCGTGGTGCACAAGGCAGGACTGAGCCGTGCGCCCTGCCCCCGGCCCTGCAGGCAGAGGAGGCGGGGCTCCCCTCCCGCCTCCTAGTCTCCCAGCATCCTCCCTGAGAACCAGGTGGAATGGGCCTGTTCGGCATCTATTTCCCTCTCCTGGGCCTTATACCCCCGGGGGCCCTCCTCATCATCTGACAAGTTTTACTTTATTTACTTCGCTGCTAAAATGTAGGCTCCACGAGGGCAGAGTGATCGTTTCGCTTATCGCTGTGTGGGCAGCGCCCAGAAGAGCATGTGGCAGAAACTATGCTCTTGGACAAACCAGAAACTGTAAAACACCTAACTGTAAAAACGGCCTTGGTGCATAGGCGCCCACAGTTTGTGGTTTCCTGTGTCCCCTCACTGACTTTTGAGGAATGACGTACACGACCAGGAGGAGTAAGCCACCCCCAGACGTTATCCACACAGAAGCCATGATCCCCATTCCCAATGTTACCGCCAGCCACACAGCCAACTGCTGGGCAAAGACTCTGAGCTGGGGGGGGAGAGCAGTAAGGCCTCCGAGCGGTGGTAGCAGCTGAGCGCTCGGGCTTGGGTGTGTTCTGGCACCCTCCTCCTCACGCTTAGGACCAGATATAACTGGTGGGCAACGGCCCCAGTCAAAATGAGCTGCCAACCTATCTGCTGATGGTTTCATAAAACACAGGTCTCCATGGATGCTGCTTCAGAGTGGACTCATGGCATCAGAGAGGACACCAGGCTTACTGATCCCTCTTCCCCAAGGAGAAGACACGCCCACCTCCGTCTTCACACCTCGCGGCTGCTCGTCTAGCCCAGGCCTCAGGGAGAGCTCACCTGGGATCAGCTGGAATCCCTACTGGCCACCCAACCTGGGGGCCCCGCCTGCGGCGCTCCACGCACACTGTGCATCGCCCCACATGCCTTGGGGCTCTAGCGAGCTTGCCTGCAGCAGTGAAGTGGCTGTAGAAACCCAAGTCTTTCACCCCCAGGGCTTAGCATTTATTAAGAGTGTAACTTAATGTTTGTAGGTGTTTAAGAGACACTATAACAAAATAGATTTAAGTCACCTCTAGGGATGCAAAGGAATGTATTCCTTCAAAGGGGGTCCATACACCGTTCACACCGTGAGCACGGGGCTCGTCCTGTTAGCAAGGCTGGACAGCACCCGTAACGCACACGCTTTGCGATTAAAGTCTCAGGTCAATTTTTGTTGAGTATTTTGAAGACAATTAACAGCTGTTCCCTTGGAGTCTGGGTTGGGGAGCCTTGCAGAGTCTCTGAGCCCCGTCTGCACACTGCGTGCTTACCCCCCGGGTCTGTGGCACATGCCTGTTGGTGTGTCGTGCACCAACAGGAAGCCCTGGGCTTCCCCCAGCACGGAGCAGGGAGGCCAGCACGCGGGTGCAGTGGCTGGGGAGGGCACCTTGATCAGGCACAGGAGGGGACACGCAGGGACAAGAGTCCTCCTGGCACCTGGCTCCCACACCACATCTGGCTCTGCTTTCCACCAGACTCGAAGGGCCGATTTGCTCAACCGAACATGTTCTGGGACTTGGAAAGACTTCTAACTGTTCCAATCCCTGGAGAAAGCGCCTTAACCCCCATGTGTCCATCTCTGCCCAGATTCAGATTCACATGTGTGTCTGCAGACCAGCAAAACATCACTGTGTTTTCATACATTTTGTTTGCGTTTCTACTGTCCTCTTTTTGAGAGTAAGTTCCTTAAAGACCAGCCCCACTTTTTTAATATATACTGTTGGATGAACTCAAACAACTCACTCCTTAGGAGGAAAAATCATTACGATCTTCAAAGTATTGGACACTTCCACATTCAAAATGCCCCTAGACATAACCATCTGATCAGCCAGACAGAGGGGACTGGGTGGGTCTGTCCCCCCGGGGCAGATACTCAGGGTGCCGGGCGAGCCCTCAGCGTCTGCCGCCACCACCACCCTGCACACCAGCGACCCAGGGCCGCAGTTGGATCTGTGCCCCAGTGGACACAGCAGGCCCCTCTGCACCGGGTCCTCTGAGGGAAACTTCGCACCCTGGGAACATCAAGCACTTCTGGATTGTGCTAGGTTACAAATACAGCTTTTTTTTTCTTTTCCAGATTTAGTTTCTTCAGGTTGACATCCCATCAAACAAGTCAGCACATCTTTAACGTTTGATAAGGTAACACCACGACTCGAGAAAGCCAAGGTCGTCGTGCTGATGAGGCCGCATCCCTCTTTTCAAAAAATACGTATCAGTACATTCGTTACAACCCAATAAAGCTGGGAAGATTAACAGCACCCCCCTGTACCCCCCCTGCACCCCCCGGACTACGACTGTTAGGACCACAGCCGGCGCACGTTTAGTCTGCGTCTCTACTTCTGCTTCAGATACACCACTGTTGGGAATTTAAAACAGTGTCCTCAGAGCTCTGCCTCATCACCAGCATGCTGAACTGCAACGCTAACACGAATTTAGCAAAGCCCGTTGCATCTTTCATAAACAGCTGATGTATTACATTAACTCCATGAACAAATAATACTCTGACGCTTTTCTTTTCAAAACCAGTTTCTACCATGAAGAAGGGAATATATATGAAATGTGTTTACCTGGGTCAAAAAGTATCTCAGCTTCTGGGACGCTCTGTAAACTTTAAAAGCAAGAGAAACCGTGCACATAAATAACATCATGCCCTAAGTTCTATAGCTTTGCCTGACTCCTTTGTTGACCACAGGCCACACATACGTTCTGCCGTCTTACTGGATGCCTGTATTTTCGTAAAGGGCATGTCGGAGACGGAGTACAGCACAGACCCTAGCGAGAAGCTGACAATCTAAGGGAGCTAGAAATATATGTATTTCAAAAGCAAACACTACTTACACAGCAACAAAGATCAAAGTAAGTTCTACAAACAGAAGGAACATCAAGATGTTCGAGGAGCATAAAAAGGAGGCAGGTTGTCTCAGGGGGACCTGCGAGTGCAGGTCCGTGACCAGTACAGCCCCACTCCGCGCACAGACGGACCTCCACACGCACTGGGAGTTGTCACTCAGGAGTCTGCCCGGCTGAGTCCCTGCTGCAGAGTGGCAAGACCAAGAAGGTCCTGTGAAAACGTGACAAACAGCAACTCCTCCATGTCTGTCTCCTGGTTCCTGGAGGGTCCTGCGCTGCACACTCTGTGTGCAAAGTGCTAACTGCGCCAAGTGACCCAGCAAGGCCTCCACTCGCTAAGCACTCCGACCAGCGTCTAAGGAAGGTCCCACCGTGAACTGCCATCACCTGGGGTCTGGTCCTCAGTCTGCCAGGCACAGAAACTAGCAGCTACCACCACCCCCAAACCACGGTCAGACTCCCCACGGCACACCACGTGGACCCACCACGGGAGAGGAGGAACTCACTGTGAGAAGACCGCTCGGCAGACTGGTTGGTCCTCCACACCGCACCTTCCAAGACACCTGGAGAGAGAACAGGTGGTCAGTAGGCTGCCTGGTGGCAGTGGGTTTAAAGAAGGAGACGCAGGGTGTCTTGAAGTGAATTGCAACCTGCCAACGGTGGCGCTGGGTGAAGCCTTGTTGCCGTTGGTCAGAGAGCTCATGTCCCTGCCAGGAGAGCTGGGCCACATGTCCAACCTGCCTCTCCACCTGTCCCATTTTCTCCACCCCGTTGGCTCATCTGGCAGGAAAGTCCTTCTCTGGATGGGTCCATGTGTTGGTTAATTAAACCAGAATCCAACTGCTAATCACACTGGCCTTGGAGACGTGCCTTTCCTCTGCTGCTACATTGATATGATTATTTCCAGGTTCTTGGCGGGACGGTTGGGGGTCTCACTAACATCCTTGTCATTCACACGCTGTACAACCTTGCTGTGCACACGGGGCATCTGCACACATCCACGTATCCCCATCGTCTGTGGCGAGTGCCCACCTGTCACACGCGCACAGCCCATGAACCCTCGTGACAACCCTGCAGATGCTGGGAGCTGACGTCGCTTTTCACCTCCTGTGTGGCACTCACTTCAACTGCATCACAGTTTCTATCTCATCCGATCCTCGTTCAGTCCTGCGAGGTCCACAAAATTTTCCTGGTTTATGTTGGAGAAAACGGAATTGCTGCGCGTTACCAAAGCTCAGCCAAAGCCAGACGGGGAGCCTAAGTTACAGCTGGGTGAAACCCTAACACAGCCAACTCTGAGGTCAGAGACTTTCTGCTACTCTCACGAGAACTGAATTAACAGATCCAGACAGTACACGAGTAGGCCAGTGAGCGCTAATCTCTAACAGGAAAGAAGCAGAGAGCAGAACCGGGAAGCCTGGGCTGTGCACCGGGGAGCAAAACCCAAGCAAAGTTCGGCAGAAAGACTGTGATGATGAAAATTAAAAACATCATTACTGGTATTGTAATGACCCTATTAAGTCCCTTTCTGAATAAGCATCTAGGAGGAGCTGAAGTGGAAATGTGCATTTGGGATACATGTGGGTTTGTCCGCTGGGTCCCTCTAAGCAGTGACACTGTCTTAATTACTACTCTTTTTCTTCAAACTCAAACTTCATTTGAGTTAGACAAAAGTAAAACTCAGTAGCATGAACTGGCCCTTCTGTCCCTCCGAGCCCAATTTAATTAGGCCATTGGCCTGTGTTCCCACGTTTCTGAGGTCAGAAACATAGCCTGTCTCCGTCAGTAAACCCAGCGGGCAGGGGGTCATCCAGAGGAGAGTGGCTGGTTCTTTCTCCCAGGGCCGCAGGCACTGGGGGGGCCCGTCCCCAACAGGCCACTTGGCTGGTGTTGCCTGGTCCGCCCGCAAACTAATGAGAATTGGGGAAGCGCCAGGAAGCCTTTCAACTCTATCCAGGGTTTGCGAGGACTGCTGATCGGATGCGAGGGTGACCCTGTGGACAGTTAAAGAGATGAAAGGAAGCCGTTCAGATTAAATAAGATTTAGGAAATAAAAGGATTAGCAGGACACAAAAGCTAGATTTGCGGGTTTATTTAGTCAGTGCAGTGTGGCGTGCTGGGACACGGGACATCCAAGAAGAGATAAAAGAGACTAACTCAGGGGGTCGCCGGGCAGCAAGGGTGAGCAGGGTCCCCCCAAAAGCGTGCTAAATCTTCTGATAATTGAAAATGGGACAGAAAGGGAGACTTCCCCATCGCTAATTCTGACTCCTCCACCAAGTAATAAGAAGAGATACAATGACCAGCCATCTCCTGGACTGGGGGTCAGGGCTCCGATCACCCTTGGAAGCAGAAAGCTTATCTGTGGCAAAGTCTCATTCACAGACTGCTTCTCTCGAGAGCAACAAAGCAAAGTTTAAAATTGTCCTGGGGTGGGGGCTGGGGAAGATTTAATATCATTTGTGGGTAATCTCAAAGACTTCCTCTTGTGTTGGTTATCTTTGCTCCGTATTTCTCTTCTCCCAAATTGTTGAACCAGAAATCCCAAAGTTAGGAGGGGCCAAAGCACGTCTGGTCTAAGCGGCTCTGTGAGAGGGGTGTCCTGCCCGGTGCCCTGCCAGACGGCTGTCCGACGCACAGAAACCCTCCTGGTCATGGCAGGACAGCATGCTTAGAGGAGACTGCACTGCAGGGCAGAGCTTCCCACCGTTCTCCTTAGTTTATGAAGCCTCATCACCCCTGGTCCCTGTTCTGCAAGATGGTGGTGCCGAGAGCAAGTCCACACTCTCACTTACACGACTGCCACTCAGACGTCTGAAACGAGCCCGGAGGACACCCTTAAATATTCCCCTTCCCTGGTGGAGCTCACCCCGTTCAGTGACGCCTGCGATCTGACTTCTGGTTCCTTCGTTGGGACAGGGAAGGGGAGGGGGTGCTGTTCTGGGGCTCCTCCACACCACCCACCGTGCTGTGCCTAGAATCACTGGGGGTATTACCTCCCCAACCAGGCCTCTTCTGATCCTTGGATCCCTGGGCTTGATGAACACATCCCCTGAAAGTATCCACTCAAAGTCTTCTCTGTGTTGCAGCTCCGAGAACCGGCGCTGGGGCCCCAGCCGAAGAGCTGTAATTAGTAGACGAGACCCCAGACCCAGCCACTCACTTGGTGTTCGTCAGCTGCTCATGGAGTGCCTGCTGCTGACTACCTGGGGTCTACCTGGCTGGGAGCAGGCGATCAACACGTGATCCTGGCCCCGGAGGAGCTCACGGTTAAGAGGAAACAGACATTTAAGCGATCAGAATTTAATGCGAGGTAAGCTATAAAAAAGGGAAGTTTGGGATACCAGAGTACAGAGCATCTGGACGATCACAGGTAAAGAAGAAGGAAGAGACTACCTCAGGAGGAGGGAACGTGCGTGTAGGGTCATGGTGGGTAGGAAGCTGGCAGAAAACCACAGGCAAACGTGAGGGGCTTGTACTCTCGAGTGAAGTGAAGGGGGGAGAGGGAGGGAGGAGGAGGGACAGGGAGGGACAGAGGAGTAAAGATGACCTCCACCCTGGCCAGGGAGATCTGATGGAGACGACACGTGTGCCGGAAACTGGAGAAGCAGTTCGGGATGAAGGGCAGGTTTAGCACAGGCACGGGTGTAAGCTTCGTAAATAGGAGTGGACTGAGTCAAAAGACATCCAAGACAAAAGAAACTCCAGCAATTACTTAGTGATTTTCAAACAAAAATGTAGCTGGGCCTCTTGTCTTCCAACGGGCGCAGCAGGTGGGGGGGCACTTTGCTGGGGGCAGGGAGGGTCCCCTCCTGCCATCGTCAGGGATGCAGCCAAACGCTCTCCCTCCACAGAGAAGGAGACCGGCCTGTAGGTGGAAGCCCAGGGAAGAGAAGAGCAGGTAGGGCCGGTGGGCTGGCGGCAGAGACACCAACGCCCGCCCAAGGGGCCCGTTCCTACCACCTCCCCTGCAGGAGCTGAATCACAGGTCACCTGTGAGGAGTCTGCCTGTGAAGAAGCAGTAGGCGAGTGAACGGGACAGGCAATGGTGTGTCTGTGTCTTCTGAAACTGAGGGACAAACCTATTAAACTCCACGGACGCAGCCAGCCAGCGTGTGGAGTCCTGGCTCCTCTCCATGGCCCTAGGAGCGCACTTGGGGACAAGAACAGAGAGGAAACGTGGACATGCTGGCTCTCACTTTTTGCTGCAAACCGTGCAGTGTGAAGCCCGGTGTAATCAGTATTGATAGTCCTGTCCCCTCTCCCCACAGTGGGGCTGCGCTGAGCCCTGGACCTGCAGCAGGGAATCAGACCCACAGGTGTCCACACCCCCACACGAGGTTCAGCCAGCAGACAGACAACAGGTAATCTAACAAGTCACACTTGTTATGGGCTGGATTCGAGCTCACATAGCCATCTCCACCACAGGGGAGGCCAGCCCCTGCCCAGGTAAGACATGGGATACAGAGAGGTAGCAATCTTGCTGCCGTCAGTCCTGACGCGTGCACACCACACGGCTGCCCCAGGCTTGGGACACGTGCCACAAAGGCCCCGGACAGACCTAGGGGACCACCTTCCGTCTCACCACTGCAACCACAAATGTTTTTATTTTCCTTATCTGTTTTAATTGTCCCCATCGGCCCTTCTGAGGTTGACTCAGTAACAAAAAACAGTATACACAAAACAGACCACTATGCTCACGTCAGTTAACCAAACCCTTGCCAGACACCTGTGATGGGCCCCACTAGTCCCCACAAAGCACCTGAAACGTCCAGAGTGGGTTCAGAGGTGAACTGGGGCAACTCATGTGTTGCTGTGGGATGAAGAGGAGGAAGGAACCAGTACTCACAAAAAATTAAGAACTTGGTGCATCTATGACAGAAACATAGAAACATCCGGGGACTTCTGGTTGGAGTCCAGTGGCCAGAGCTGTGGAACCTGGGTGTGGCACGTGGCCTTCATGTACAGCCTTGTGACCTTCAGCAGACTGCTTGACCCCTTGATCTTCACTTCCTTTGCTTGTAAAATAGGGATAATTTCAGGACCTGCCTTCGGGGTGGCTGTGCTGACTGGATGAACAAGAACCCAGTACAGTGCCTGGCAGGCAGCAGCTGTGAGCGGCCAGCACATGTATCGTCAGGCAGAAGGCTCAGGTGTTCTTCCCAGGCATTCTCCCCAGGAAGCTTCCAGAGGCTGTGCAGTAGAGGCAGTCACGAGCCAGGAAGCAGAAGCACAGGACCGAGGGGTCAGTGTGGGGACCGCGGGAGGGAGCACACGGCCGGACTGGAGCGGACACAGAGCCACCACCGGAACCTCAGAGAGGAAACAGTAACAACAGGGCAACACACAGAGCTGACGAAACACACAGCAGCCCTGGGAGTGTTCCAAGGAAATTTTAATTTATTTTTTTTACTTAAAGTATGGTTGACTTATAATGTGTTAACTTCTGGTGCATGGCAAGATGATTCAGTTATACACACATACATTCTTTTTCATATTCTCTTTCATTGTAGTTTATTATAGGATATTGAATATAGTTCCCTGTGCTATACAGTAGGACCTT